GGCGGTCGGTCCTGGAGCTCCGTCTCCTTTCACTTACACGTGGCGGCGCCTCCTTCTGTCACATCACACTCCATCCCAGAGACTCTGAGCTGCTGCGCCTCCTCCCTGAGGCCTGAGGCTCCGTGCCTTCACTCCCCGCTCCTCTCACTTCCAACGGCTCTGATGCCCCCTAGAGGAGGTTATTAATTGGAGCCGGTTCCCCCGTCGTACTCCTTGGTCCTCGTGCTGCCACTGATAATTGGAGCAGGTGTTCAAACCTCTTCAAACCCCCCCCCCTCCCCTCCGTGGTAATCACCTTCAGATGTGGTGTTAGCCCAGGATTCTCCCGTCCCTCAGACCTCACGGTCCAGTTTTCAGGGATTGTCTTTTTCACGCGGCGTCCCTCTGGTCTCTGTCTTCCAGACGACACGCCGGAGACCTGTATCTACTCCTCCTGGTCTCCGTGGTCGGCCTGCAGCAGCGCCACCTGTGACAAAGGTCGCAGGATGAGGCAGAGGATGTTGAAGGCCCAGCTGGACCTCAGCGTACCCTGTCCACACACTCAGGACTTCCAGCCCTGCATGGGACCAGGGTGCAGCATGGAGGGTAAAACACACACACACACACACACACACACACACACACATGCACACACTGTTTCATTCAGAGCCCCTGTTTTTTTTTTTTGGGGGGGGGTTATGTCTTAATTTTATCACAAATATATTTTCAAACCTGAGGCTCAGGGCCCCCGTGAGGACCAACCACAGCTGTTCAGTTAGCACTGTGCTATCATCTGTAGCGACACTAGGGGGACGTCGTCTCCCAAAGCGTCTTTAAGTCTCTCTCCTGTAGGAGGAGGAGTGGGCGGGGCCAATGTGTCAGATTACCATTTAAAGGTAAAGACACAGACACCAGCAGTGAAGAACCAGCTGAACTGGAACCGTTTGTTGGAGGAACCAGACGACTCTGAGTGAACAGACCATAATACTACATAATACTACATAATACTACATAATACTACATAATACTTCAATGACTTCAACTGACAAAATCAGCAGCAACTTTTATTGTTGTTCTGCGCTGTCAATTATTCATCTTCATGTTTCTCGAATTCCCAGAAACACCTGGTACCAGGACCAGTGAAAACGGTTTCATTTCTAAATAATTACCAGTGACCCCTGCTGGTCGTCAGTGGGACTAAAACCCGCTCCCCGCTCCGCAGGGCTCTAATCCCTGCAGCCGGTGGGAAAACAAAAGGTTGTGAAGCTCCCCGGTGTTTCTCCTGCAGTTCTTCTTCTTCTGTTCTGTAAACAAACGCTGCCACGACTATAAATAATGGATTATTTGGATTAGGAACAAACAGACATTTACCAGCCGTTGTTCTCCTGTGGCCGCGGTGGAACAGTTCCAGGACTTTCACCAACCACAGAGTAAACGCCGGAAAATTCTCCCGTTTTCTCCCTCATTGTACTGAAATGAACTGCTCTTTAATTTGCCCTGAACTGGGGCAACAACGCAAACGGATCTGAGTACAAAGACGGAAAAACCTGGAGCGGAACTTTGGTGACGTCAGAACATCCTGGACACTGACCCCGACGACCTCTGTTGATGATGTCACTCAGACCAATTAATCGATTCATTCACATGTCTTCTGTCAACTCGTCACTTGAGGGCAGTCATCAGGTGTGGGCGGGGCTTATACCTCCAGTGTTTCACACAGTCACACCTCAGAGTCACTTTAGCCCAGGGGTTTCAAACTTTGGTTCGGGGGCCACTTACGGCCTAATTAGCCGTGAAGTTTGTCGGACCAGTACAATCATCACATCATTACCCATAAATACCAATAAATTTCAAGTGGGCCGCATTAAACCCCCCTAACGGGCCGGTTTTGGCCCGCGAGCCGTATGTTTGACACCCCTGCTTCAGAGTAGACCATGAACCTAATCCTGCATGTCTTTGGACTCTAACCTGGGATTNTACCCTGGAATTGACCCGACACGTCTGCCACCGTGTGGCCATGTTGGAGTTGTTTAAAGCTGTGGCTCGCGGCTTCATCGTGGCTTCTGTTTATTCTTCCACCGGATTTGATCTTTGTTTCGTTGTCCCGCCTCCTAGCCAACAGCCAAGGCTCTGATTGGCTCTCAACCTCATTCCTTAAACCCCACATGACTTGCTGTTGATTTTCCGTCTTTGTAGAGAAGGTCGTTGTCTGAGTCTTTGACTAAAATTATTATTAGTCGTTAAATGAACGCAGCTCTGGGCCAGGATTTAACCAGATTTAAATCCCCGACATTAAAGAGCGCCCCCTAGTCTGGACCCTTATGTTACTCTAGATGTCTGAAAAACATTAGTCACCCACAATCCCAGCTAATGCAAATGCAGACTTGTAACCAGCAATATGATCAAGTAGCGTATGCACTTTTTTTTTTTTTTTTTTACAATTGGCATTCAGCGTAAATCTGTAAAAATGCAAAGTATGCACTTTTTTTTTTTTTTTTTTTTTTTTCGGTCGACCGCAAATCCTCTCTGTGTCTCTGCTGAACTTTTCTCTCAGTCAGACTTGGACTCAGGTCACTGCTCCGTGGCTGCTCCACGAATACATTTGCCAATTTATCTGCCTGTTAGAAGCTGTTCCCTGACAGGACTCTGAAGACGGTGTCACTTTAGGAACCATTTGTGCTCCTCACCGACGTCCACTGGGAAAATCAACCATTATAATTCACTGCTGCCGACAGCCTCTGGCTTCAGTCTGTGTGTGTGTCTGTGTGTGTGTGTGTGTGTGTCCTGGGTGTACAGTGTGTGTGTGTCATTAAGAATAACGCAGAATGAAAACAGCCTTCCTCGACTGTTGCAATCAGTCAGAAAACCAAGGATTTAAAGTAGGGATGTCCGATCTTCACTTTCTGTCGATATCGTCCAAACTCTTAATTTCCGATTCCAATATCAACCGATACCGATATAGGTCTAGTGATATTTATTTATGTATCTGTTCAAACCACTGTATGAGTTCCTGACACCAACATTCTCCATACAATCCCCTGATTATTAAAACAGATTAATAAAATGAGCTGCAATGCTGCCATCTAGTGGCTTTCACTTTCACATACAGCCGTTTTTCCCCAAAACAATTTTTAGGGCACACATCATTTGGCGAAAACCCAGGCATTGTGTTATCGGGTTTTCATTATCGAAGGTAGATAACGATCCTCACAGATATGACATCGTCCTGCTAATATCAGTCGGCTGATATTATTATTTGAAGCCTAAAACTAACACAGCGTCGCAGGTCAACCGCCGCTGCCTCGTGTGGGAAGTTAGTGTTTTTGTGGTTGGGGAAACAGCTCAGGTTTAGAGGAAGTGATGGAGGCAGCGGTGGATCAATAGTTCCTGTGTGCGGTCGTGTCAAGTGGAGCGGAGAAAGTGACACAAAGTTCTCTTCCAAACAGAGCAGAGTTCTAATGGTGCTGTAAGGTTTTATGGGCTGGATGTTCACTTAAGTGGCCCATAATCCATTTGGTTGTGTCCCATATGGCTCCTGCTGTTTTACTGGATGGAGCCGGAGTCGACTATTAGTCCACGTGTTAGCGCGCTTTAAACACCTCCAAGAGCCTTTCAGCAAAAAACACACACACGGTCGTAGTACTCACCGTGTACTGACGTCTCTGTGGGTTGTAGTACATCGTTACAGTAATGACCATGGATTAACAGCAACAAAACAAAACACTAGACATCAAACTCACTCTCAAATATATATATATATATATATATATATATATATTCACATATATGTGTATATATATATATGCAAATACATATAAAAACATATATGTATTTACATATATACACATATGTAGTATATATTTATACATGTATGTATGTATTTATACACATACATACAGCACATATATGTATAAATATGAATTCATATATACTGTATATATGTGTATATATGTATATGTAAATATTTATTCACCTATGTATATATGTAAATACATATAAAAATATATATGTATTCACATATTTACATATACAGTATATGTACATACATACACATATGTATAAATATATACTGTATATATGAATACTGTACATGTGTATATGTGTAAATACATATATGTTTTTACATGTTTTACCATGTGTATATACACACATATTCACATATATATGTAAATATATACAGTACACAGCGGCCTGTCGGGTACACGATGCCGTCTTTTTCATGACCATTTCCTGCTCCTCCGGCGTCCAGACCCAGACGGAGCCTTTGTGGACGTTACAGTCAAGTTGTCAGTCTGGAACAAAGGCCATGAATTGACATCCCTCCTCCCCCTC